AAAACTGCGGGAAACCATGCAAAAAACGCATCTTCGCACGGGCAGCCCGTGCGTTGGCCAATTATTTTATCTGTAAAGTGAACAGCTGTAGTTCCTTTTCTAGCCATGCAGCTAACAACTTTTCCAGTTGCTTTAGTCGGCCAGTTCGCGTTCTTTTTGTCTCCTGCTGTGCGTGGCAAAAATTTCACGGTTTCGAGATTTCGCTGTTCAGCGCTGACCATCATTTAAGAAACTTGCTGCCTACAACTTAATTGAAAATGTCTAGAACGGCTATTAGTTTTATCACTGCTTCATGCTCGCAGAGTCCCTCAGTTGATACGGCCGGTAACCATCGAATTCGGCCACAAACTCTTTTCATCCACAGCACATCACGTGTTCAAGTTAATGGATCAGCGCAGCGTATCGATGGCTTTGCAACTATTCTTTTCTCATGTACCAGTCGTTACCTGCAAAATCAGCAACAGCACAAAATTTACAGTTTTGAAGTGAAAATTAGCGTATATCCAGAATTTGTATTTCAGGGCGGATATGAATGAGTCGCATGTGGGAAGCAGTGGAAGATCAGTATGGAAGCGTAGAAAAAGCCGCTTGCTCATCGCCTGTCTAGCATTTCTTGCTTTTCTTTCAGCTGCTCTGATTGTAGTACTAGTTTATGTTCTCACAAGACGGCCTCCAACAGTATGCCTGTCACCTGAATGCATTAAAACAGGTTAATAATTTTATACCCAATCAAAAACACAACTAGGCTCCCTTCCTCATCCATTCCAAATGAAAGGCAAAGGTACTTGAAAGCATTCTGAGGCCAGCAAATGCCAATGTCAGTTACCGCTGGTAAGGTGTTGTTAACGGTTCGCTTTCACGAGAGTTGCTTATAAGCATGCTAATGGCTGATTTGACTGCCTAGCATGCATTAGTAACAAATCATCAAAACTAATGAACAGATCATGGACGGAATGGTTAATCCACCAACAGAATTAAATATTACGATCGGAGAAAAGGAACTAT